GGGGTCCTCAAACTACGGCCCGCAGGCCACATGCAAATACCAATATTGTATTTGTTCCCGTTTTGTTTTTTTACTTCAAAATAAGATATGTGTAGTGTGCATAGGAATTTGTTCATAGTTTTTTTTTTAAACTATAGTCCGGCCCTCCAACGGTCTGAGGGACAGTGAACTGGCCCACTGTTTAAAAAGTTTGAGGACCCCTGCTCTAAACACTGAGCCAAACCAGCTAGGGCTCAATGTTATTTTGTATTGGTTTCAGGTGTACAGCTTAGTGGTTAAACAGTCATATACTTTACATAGTGTTCCTCTTGATATTTCCAGTACCCCAGCTGATAACATACATAGTCATCACAATATTATTGACCATATTCCTTATGCTTTACTTACATCTCCTTGACTATTTTGTAGCTACCAATTGTGCTTCCTAATCCCTTCCCTCTTTCACCCATCCTAAACCCCCCTCCCCTCTGACAACCAACAGTTCTCTCTGTGTGTCTGAGTCTGTTTCCGTCTTATTCATTTATTTTGTTCTTTAGATTTCACATATAAGTGAAATATGGTATTTGTCTTTCTCTGAGTTGGGTGACATATTCACTGAGCATAGTACTATCCTCTGTGTGCATCCATGCTATTGTAAATAGTAAGATTTCATTCTATTTTATGAGCAAGTAATATTCCATTGTATATATGTACCACAGCTTTTTTATTCACTCGTCTATTGATGGGCACTTGGGTTGCTTCCAAGATATAACTGCTTTTTAAGGTCCTTGGTACCTTTTGATAAAATCTTCCTTTGATTTACAATCCCAGTGGCTACTGAATCGTTTTCCTATTTTTTTTTTTCATGGCTTTTTATTTTTTTAATTGATTTTAGAGAGAGGAAGGGAGAGAGAGAGACAGAAACATCAATGATGAGAGAGAATCATTGATCAGCTGCCTCCTGCACGCCCCCCACTGGGGAGTCGAGCCCACAACCCGGGCATGTGCCCTTGACCGGAATTGAACCCAGAACCCTTCAGTCCTATTCTTGGTGTCCTCCTATCACGCATGTGTCTCATAACTTGATTAGGCCATTAGAATGTGTTTAGTGAAAAAGATCAGGGTGGGAAGCACTGCATGGCTCAAGGGTACATTTACCCCAGTTAGAACAGAACCAAAAAATCCTTTCAGCTTTTGGCGAAATTTTCTATTCTCTCCAGTAATGCCACATTTACAAATTGTCAAACTGCTGTATTATTTCCACAGGTAGCTAATTCTCACATAAACACAGTCCAATCATAATTAACATTAATTTCAGAAAGTACTATTTTTATATGTTGTCATATGGTCCAAACTTACGTTTTATGAAATCTTCCCTTTACACTTCTTTCTTTTTACCTTTTATTGAACCACACTGAGTTACTGCCACTAAAAAACAATAGAACTGTAATTCTTATTAATTGAAGAATTGTTACCTGAATCAGAGAATCATTTCATAACATTTTATTGTGGACACTTTTAAATATTTATAACTAGAGGCCCAGTGCACAAAATTCGTGCACTGGGTGGGTGTCCCTCAGCCCAACCTGCCCCCTGTTACAGTCTGGGAGCCCTCAGGAGATATCCTACTGACGGCTTAGGCCCGCGGCGGCTCAGAGCACACCCCGCCTTGGCGGGTCCGCTGGGGGCCTTGGTCCTGGCTGCAGCGTGGCTCAGAGCATGCCCCCCTGGGCAGGTCTACTGGGGGCCTTGCTCCCAGGGCAGGCGGCACAGCATGCCTGCCCGTGAACCCCCAGCAGAAATGGCCTCAGAGCTGGGCCCCCGAGCTGTGCCATGGCCACTTGGAGCCCGCCCCTAGCCCTGGTGTTTGGTGTGTATCCACTGGGGCTGGGGGCATGCTCTGAGCTGGTTGTGATGTCCTGGCCTAATTTGCATATTTCTCTCTTACTATATAGGATTAGAGGCCTGGTGCACAAAAATTTGTGCACTGGGGGGGGGGGGGGTGTTCCTCAGCCCGGCCTGTGCCCTCTCGCAGTCTGGGACCCCTCAGGGGATGACCACCTGCTGGCTTAGGCCCGCTCCCTGAGGGATTGGGCCTAAGCTGGCAGTCAGATATCCTTCTGGCAGCCTGGCAGCCCGGCAGCCCTCGGGGGATGTCCACTTGCCAGCGGGGAGCAGGCCTAAATTGCAGTCAGGCATCCTTAGCACTGCTGAGGAGGCAGGAGAGGCTCCCACCACCACCGCTGTACTGGCAGCCGGCAGCCTGGCTTATGGCTGAGCAGAGCTCCTCCCATGTGAGAGCGCCCTGACCACCAGAGGGCAGCTCCTGCATCGAGCATCTGCCCCCTGGTGGTCAGTGTGTGTCATAGTGACCAGTCATTCCCAGCCTTTCTGCTGTTAGGGTCAGTTTGCATATTACCCTTTTACTATATAGGATAGAAGCCTGGTGCACGGGTGGGGGCCGGCTGGTTTGCCTGAAGGGTGTCCTGGATCAGGGTGGGGTCCCGCTTGGCTGCCTGGCCAGTCTGGGTGAGGGGCTGAGGGCTGTTTTCAGGCTGGTGGGTGACTGAAGCTCCCAACCTCTCCTTTTTTTCATTTTTTTTTTTATTCTGGGATTTATTTACCTTCAATGGCTGTCACTGGAACTGAGAGCTGGCTTTAGCTCTGAGGCTTGGCTGGCTGAAAGCAGGTTTCTGGGGTTTGTTTAGCTTCTATAATTGCAACATTGTTTCTTAGAGTGCAGCTCAGAGGCCGGCAGCGGCAGGCAGGGAACCTTGGCTTCCTTCATCACTGGAGCAAGCAAGCCTCCTGTTCGCTTCAGCCGCCTCGCTGCCGGCCGCCATCTTGGTTGGCAGTTAATTTGCATATCGCCCTGATTAGCCAATAGGAAGCATGTCGGAGGTATGGTTAATTACCATGTTTGTCTATTATTAGATAGGATGAGAGTGTACTCATCTTCTACGTACTCATCACTTAGCTTCTACAGTTATTTACTAATGATTAATCTCTTTTCATATAAACTTCTATTTCATCTTCCTCCTATATTCTTTTGAAAAAAATCCAGATTTCATATTATTTCATTCGTGAGTATTTCAGTATAAGTATCCCTAAAACGTGTGGTTTTTTAAAATATTTTTTCATTGTTTTTAGATACGGGGAGCAAAGAGAGAGAAGCATCACTTTGTTTTTCCATTTATTCATGCATTCATTGGTTGATTCTTGTATGTACCCTGACCCAGATCGAAGCCCCAACCTTGGTGTATTGGGATGATGCTCTAACCAACCGAGCCACCCGGCCTGGGCTACTGAAGGTTTTTTAAAACCCACATAATTATAATATTTTTCACATCTTTAAAATTTTAACCATTTCTTAATTATATCAAATACCCAGTTAATAGATATTTCCAACTGCCCCATACATATTGCTTGTGTTTTTACACATTTGTAGAGTGTCCCAAAGTCTGGATTTTCCTAATTTTGTCATCATGCTGTTTTTTAATATGTCTCCCTGTATTACCTATAATTCAGTAGTTGGATCTAATGTAGTAATTTTAATGCATTACATGAAATGTAAATTAAAAAGCTATTAAAGCTAGGTTCAGAAATAATACTATGTAAAGAAAGTTTATTTAAATGATGAAAAAAGAGTGGTAAATAATAGGGTTTATATTACAACTAGAGGCCTGGTGCACGAAATTCGTGCACAGGGGGTGGGGGCGTCTCTCAACCCAACCTGCACCCTCTCCAATATGGGACATCCCTCTCACAATCCAGGACCACTCGCTCCTAACCGCTCACCTCCCTGCCTGCCTGATTGCCCCTAACCGCTTCTGCCTGCCAGTCTGATCACCCCCTAACTGCTCCCCTGCCAGCCTGATCGGCGCCTAACTGCTCCCCTGCTGGCCCGGTCACCCCTAACTTCCCTCCCCTGCCAGCTGGTCGCCCCTAACTGCCCTCCCCTGCTGGCCTGGTCGCCCCTAACTGCCCTCCCCTACAGGCCTGGTCGCCCCTAACTGCCCTCCCCTGCAGGCCTGGTCGCCCCCAATGCCCTCCCCTGCAGGCCTGGTCGCCCCCAACTGCCCTCCCCTGCAGGCCATCTTGTGTCCATATGGGGGCGGCCATCTTGTGTGTTGGAGTGATGGGCAATTTGCATATTACCTCTTTATTATATAGGAAGCATAGGATTAAGATTTCTGACTCCTTGAGAATTCTCAGAATTAATAGTACCTCTCTTTGATTTGAAACTATCTTCCTGAATTTACTATAAAAAGAAAACTGAAGACTTACTATGAGAAATTGCATATTAGACTCTAAAAGACTTATTGTTGACAAATATGGCAATAACTTAATGGTTTTATGCTAACCACCTTTTTTGTTTTTGTTAGTATTTAGGTTAGAGTATGTCAGAATCATGTTCTATTGTTTCCTTTATTCTCAGATAGTACATTTTTAAACAATATAATATTTTTTCTGAGTCTGGTCATTGTCAAACTACATATTCTATTTTCTAAAATACAGCTTACTGAAATCCAAATAAATTACCTTTTTATTTTATGAAGTTAGTTATTTTTAAGTAATTATTAGAACAATACAAAAGGTATATTTAGAATAATTTTTAAAGGAATAAGAGTAGTGGAATTAGTTGTTTTTTTCCTAGTTTCAAAAATTGGTATTATTGCAATAAACATGATAATTATCTAAAAGATAATTATCAAAAAGATAATTTTTTTAATTATTTTATTGTTTAAAGTATTACAAATAGTAGTACATATGTCTCCTTTTTTTCCCCATTGACCTTCCCCCAGCCTCCCCTACCCCTGGCACATGCCCTCACGCCCCCCAAAAAAAGATAATTATAACTCACAGAGAAAAGAGTTGCATTTGACTTTTACTGCTAATCAATTTGAAGAATAATTTCATTTAATAAATTTGTAGGACTGTTTGTTCCAAGCACCTTTACAGTCATCTCCGTCTCATTATGCTGTGCTTCTGTGTTTGTTTTATTTTTTTTTCCTCCTTAGCTCATCAGTAGGTTACTTACAACATCCAGGATCAGAACAAGTACAGTTTCCTCGAACTACTTCACCCTGCAATTCCCAGCAGCTTCAAAGCCACCAGTGTGCAGGTATGAACAGATAATTGAACAAAAGGATGATGGTTTTTCACTTGAGGAAAAATTAAATTAAGTTTCTTAGGCACTTCTTGAAAAAGATTTCAGCTTGCTATGTGCTGAGGTATAACTAAGATATTTAAGGCACCATGTGAAATCAGAGTTGGCAGGCTCAGTCTACTTCCTTCCTACTGCTGCCATTAGCACACTGCTGTCCTGTTCTTCTCCTCGGGCTCTTCCTTCCTTGCCTCTCAGATATTGATGTTCTCTAGGATCCTCTTCTAGGTGCACTCTGGCTCCTCTTCAAGGTCTTCCTAAGTAATCCAACACCTCCTAGGCTTCAGCTACTGCTTTTTGCCAACACTTCCCTAATCGTATTTCTGCTGAGACGACCATATAGCCAGTTATCTACTGAACATTCCAACCCAGATGTGTCAAAGGGACTTCAGATTTACTATTTCTCCTTACCTATCTATAAACTAAAACAAAGCTCAAAGTCATAATTATCTCTCTCTGTTCTCCCTTTTCATGTTCATGATTTCCGCAAGTCTGTTACCTTCTTTCCTTCCCCACTGCTGCTACTTTTGGTCAATTCTTTTCATGTTTTATTTGCAGCCATCAGGTGTTTTTGCTTATTTCATGTTTCCCCTACACCCAGCTTTTCTCTTCCTCAAGCACATATACAGACATTTCAAAAATTATTGTAATTATTATCCTGAAACAGAAGTCTCTTCATGCCATTCCTCTGAATAAAAAATTTGCATAAATTCTCTATCTAAACTCTAGCAAGTTTGCCTCCTATTTATACTTACATGCTCAATTTACGCAGAACTTTGTTTCCAGAATACTGTATGCTTTTTTATGCCAAAGGTACTTTTGTGCCTATTCTTCCCTCTTCCTAGAGAGTGTCTATCCACCATCCTCTGTTTGCCAAAATCCTGCTCATCCTTAAATTTTTACTCAAAAATTACCTCTTCTACAAAGACTTCCCCGGCGTTTTAAACAGTACTTTATCATAACACCTTATTTTATTGTAAGGATTTATTAACATGTAGTCTATGAGAAACAAGAAATGATTATTAAATAAATGACCAATAGTGGCTGCATCTACATAGGCTGCTATGGCTGAAGATAACTTTGAGATGTCCTTAAGCAGTCAGCCCTTCTGTGGTTTGCCTAGCCAGGTCAGGTTGGTTCTATTTCCAGGGAACTGGAACTACCATGGTTACTGCAGTGCAAACTATGGCCCTTCTAGGGCACAGGATCCTCCCTTACCTTACACTGAAATGGTGAGTGGCAGGCAGATTATGTGCCTAATACCAGCAATGCTGCAGTACTGGTACACAAAAGAAATAAATCCGATAAGAAATAGTTATAATTAATAGTCCTTTTATCTCTACAGTACAATTAGCAAGGTGTTTTGACATATATGACATATATATAATCATCACAGCTCTTTAAAGCCAGCCAAGGAGGTCTTTCTAGCCTCCTTTTTCAGATGGGAAAACATAATAAAAGAACTTAAATTTTCCTGGAGTCATAGGACATTTCAGGGTACTAAAATTGTGCTTTGTTAATTAATTCCAGTCCCAAACTTTTATACTGCATGAAATCGATTTACTAGAAAATAACTTTTCTACTGTATGTCAAAGTTTCTGTAGGTTATTTTTCCCCAGTTTTCTTTGTATTTATAAAAATGCCTGTTTTAAAATTTATTTTTTATTTTTTTAGTGCTTTATTGAGTTTTAGAGAGAGGGGAAGGAAGAGGAATAGAGAGATAGAAACATTGATGAGAGAGAAACATCATTGGTCAGCTGCCTCCTGCACGCCCCTCACTGGGGATTGAGCCCACAACCCGGGCATGTGCCCTGACCAGGAATGGAACCAGTGACCTCTTGGTTCCTGGGTCGATGCTCAACCATTGAGCCACACCCCAGCTGGGCAATTAATTCAGTTTTTTTAATTAAGCACTTTTATATATCATATCTCAATTGTGCTACTCTTCACTAGTTTCTGGAATAGATAATTGGACTTTTCTGAATAACTATAGACTTGTTGGTTTCAGGATAAGTGAGATATTTAGGTCTACAGAGTCCACTTTAATGCCATTTTAAACAACACTTTTTGCAAGAAACATTAGGGTTTAAATCTATGTTACATATATTGTAGTAAAATTTTGTTCAGAAATGTAAAATTATTGCTATTATCTTGGTCTTTGAAGATTCTGTTTGCTAATGTAGTATCCTAATTCTGATTTTCAGCTGTGCCACCTCCACCACCTAGTGGAGGAATGGTGATGATGCAGCTTAATGTACCAAACAATCCACAGTCTCGTGCCCACTCACCCCCGCAGTGGAAACAAAACAAATATTACTGTGATCACCAGAGAGGACAGAAGTGTGTGGAATTTAGCAATGTAGACAATATTGTTCAGGTAAGATGCTTAATTTTAATACTTTCAATATTTTAGTCACAGAAGATTGACCTAAAAGCCTTAATACTGAATTTGAAACCTCAAACAGATTAGTAAAGAAGTTGGAATACTTCTTATATCCAGAATATTTTTTCAACATTTAAATATTATTTCCCAACTTTTGCATATTCAAAAAAAAATTTTAATCAGAAGATAAATTAGATCTAAAATTTGATAAAGAAAAAGAATTATGCCATTATCCTACTTTTTCATATAAACTGCATTTTAGTGTAACCAGAAAGTTGATGAGGGAATGCTGTTCATCATAGGAGAAATACAATTAATAAATGTAAAAGCAGTGGTAGAATTTAAAATCACCATTATGGAATCCTATTAAAATAATGGATGAAGAAAAAACCATCAGGCCAGTGTGGCTCAGTTGGTTGAGCATCTTCCCATGCACCACAGGGTTACCAATTCAGTTCACAGTCAAGGCACATGCCCAAGTAGTGGGCTTAGGCCTTGGTCAGGGCGCATGCAGGAGGCAGCCAATCGATCTTTCTTTCTCTCTCTCTCTCACTTTCTCTCCCTAAAATCAATAAAAGAAAAAATAATCAGCAAATGCCAGAAACTTTAGGAAAAGGCTATGGGAAACTTTAAATGGATAGATGAGGCAGACAACACTTGAAGTAACTGATCATTCATAGCATCACTAAAAGTGGGTCAACCAAACTTATTTGCCTCCTGATATGGTGTAGAGGAAATATACATTATCCCATGATGTGCTCTTATTAAAAAGAAAAGAAAAAAAAAATCTTGAACCTGAATCTAATCAAGCCTCTAAGTTGAGCTAATAATTTACAGAAAATCCAGGAAGAAAAAAAAAACAACTTATATGATATCATGCCCTTATTTTACTAGACAAATTGGCCCCATTTTTTTTAACAGATAAGAGGCATTTTGAAATGAAGGCTGAGTCTGCTATAGATTAAAAGAGACTCAAAAGATATAATAATCAGATGCAACATATGGATCTTTCTTAGATATTGATACAGTCAAAAGATGTTTTTGGACAAAAAGCGAGTATTTAAATATTTTAATTTTTAGTATGATTAATGGTGTTATTTTTAAAATAGTTTTATCTCTTAGAAATATTTATACACTAAAATATTTTCAAGTGCAATGCTGTGATATCTGAGACTTGCTTTAAATACTTTAGGGAGAAAACAGCAGGAGAAAGCACAAAGTTGGATGATGGAGAGATGGAAGTTTGTTGTACTCATCTATCTACACCTCTATATATTTGAAAGCTTACCACATTAAAAGGTTTTGAAAGATATTTTTTAAAGATTATACAAAAAATATGTACAATGCACATAACAAAATCATAGCAAAATAAAAAGTCAAAGATCATTTATAGGCTAGCTCACAAACTACAGCCAATGGCCATTAAACAGATGAAATGTAAAGTTATTTTTTATATAATTGGGAAAATTTAGAAAGATTACTAATTTGCACTGTCAGCAGAGATAGGAAGTTACACACTCTTGTACACTCTTGGTGGTACTGTAAATTACTACAACTCTTTTTGGAGACATTTTTCCAAATTGTGGTGTAGGTACATAGCCTTTGGTCCACAAATTCACTTCTTAAAATTTTGTCCAGTAAAAATTGTGGAATAAGCATACAAAAATATGTGTACACAGATATTTTTTTCTTCCCTATTGTAACATTGAAAAACTGGAAATAGTCTTGATATTCCACATTGGCTCCATAAAATCCTGGGAAGACCATAAAGTTAGCTATCAGGCCGACCTTGCACTGAAACAGCTGGCAACAATCAATAAACAAAAACAATAACAAAAAGAATCCCAGCAAACCCTGAGAAAATGGGAGAATCTGATTTCCATTCTTACCACATTATCAGAGTCAAATATCTACTTTTAAACAAACAAAAAAACCCACAAGATGGGGGGAGGCAAGGGTACTGTCAAGGGCAGGGGGAAAAAAAGGACACATATGTAATACCCTTTGTAATACTTTAAGCAATAAAAAATAAAAATAAATAAAATAAAAAAACCCACAAGACATACAAAAAAACAAGAAATTATGGCTCATTCAAAGGAAAAAATATACATCAACAGAAACTGTCCCTGAAAAAGATCTGATGGCAGATCTCCTAGAGTCTAGGACAGGGGTCCTCAAACTACGGCCCGCGGGCCACATGCAATACAAATATTGTATTTGTTCCCGTTTTGTTTTTTTACTTCAAAATAAGATATGTGCAGTGTGCATAGGAATTTGTTCATAGTTTTTTTTTAAACTATAGTCCGGCCCTCCAACGGTCTGAGGGACAGTGAACTGGCCCCCTGTTTAAAAAGTTTGAGGACCCCTGGTCTAGGACCTAGACAGAGGCTTAAAAACAGCTGTCTGAAGGGTGCTTGAAGAACTAAAGGGTGATTTGGAGAAAGAAAATGTATGAACAAAATGGAAATATCAATAAAGACAGCAAACCTAGAAAGAAACCAAAAGTAAATTCTGGAGTTGAAAATACCGTAATTGAAATGAAAAAATTCACTAGAAGAATTCAGTGGCAGATTTGAGCAGGCAGAAGGAAGAATCAGTGTACTTGAAAATAGTACAGTGGAAAATACCAAGTCAGAGGAACAGACAGGAAAAAAAAAATGAAGAAAAGTAAACAGCCTAAGGGACCTGTGTGACAACATCAAATGGACCAACATACATATTGTGGGCATCCAGAAGGAGAAGAGAAAAGGGTCAGAGAGGATATTTGTGGCAATAATGGCTTAAAACTTCTAAAATTTGATTTTAAAAACATGAATATAATTGTTCAAGCAACTCCACAGACTCTAAGATGAACTCAAAGAGACTTATACTGAGACACATAATAAATCTTTTCAAAGACAAACAGAGAATATTAAAAGCAGCAAGAGAGAAATGACTCATCATATAAAGGGAGCCTCAAAGAGATAATCAGATTTCTCATCAGAATCTTTGGAGGCTAGCAGCAGCAGGTCAGTGTATTCAAAATGCTAAATAAAGGAACTGGCCCTTGCCAGTGTTTCTCGGTTAGCATATCAGCCTGCTCACCAAAGGGTCTTAGGTTCAATTCCCACTCAAGGGCACATACCTGGATTGCAGGTTCAACCCCCAGCCCCAGTTAGGGCACGTACAGGAAGCAATTGATATGTCTCTCTCACATAGATATTTCTCTTTCTCCCTCCCTCACTCTCCCTCTCTCCTTCCCTCCCACTCTCTCTAAAAAAATCAATAGAAACAAATATGCTTGATGAGGATTAGCAAAAAGAAGAAGAAAAACTGCCAATCAAGATCCTTCATCTGGCCCAGCAGTTGAGCGTCAACCTATGAACCAGGAGGTCACAGTTTGAGCCCAGGTTACAGGCTCTATCCCCAGTAGGGGGCATGCAGGAGGCGGCCAATCAATGATTCTCTTTCACCATTGATGTTTCTCTCTCCCTCTTCCTTCCCCTCTAAATCAATAAAAATATATTTAAAAAAAAAAAATCCTTCATCTGGCAAAACTTTCCTTCAAAAGTAAAGGAAAAATTCAGAATTCCAGATAAACAAAAGCTGAGCCCTACCCTGCATGAAATTTGCAAAGGGGTCCTGCAGAGTGAAATGAAAGAACATTAGGCAGCAACACAAAGGCATATTGAAGAAATAGAGCTCTCAGTTAAATTCATGGGCAATTATAAAAGCTAATAGTGTAATACTAGTCGTTTGTAAGTGTACTTTTTGCTTTGTACATGATTTAAGAGACTCGATTTTTTAAAGTTATCTAAAAGGTAGTATTTTTGTAACTTTGGTTTGTAACTCCTCATTTTGTTTCCTACATTATTTAAGAGACTAATGCACTTAAAAGAATTAGTGTACAGAAGGTAACCAAACAATGCTTCTCTCCCTCTCTCCTTCCCTCTAAGCATGTCTTCAGGTGAGTTTAAAAAAAAAAAAAGTATTATTGGGTTGTTTGGGGGCATATAGTGTATAAAAATGTAATTTTATAATGCCATCAGCCAAAAGAGGATGTTTTTTTGTTTTCTTTTAATATATTTATTTTGATTTCAGAGAGAGAGGGAGGAAGAGAGAGAAACATCAATGATGAGAGAGAATCATTGGCTGCCTCCTGCACACCCCCTGCTGGAGATCGAGTCCACAACCTGGGCATGTGCCCTTGACCGGAATTGAACCCGGGACCCTTCAGTCCACAAGCTGACAGTCTAGCCACTGAGCTGAAACCAGCTAGGGCCAAAAGAGGATGTTAAGTGTGATCCCCAAGGAAATCATACAGAAAAAAAAAATATGGAATATATACAAAAAGAAATGAGAAAGAAATTTAAATATTTGACTACAAAAAAGTCAAGTAATCACAAAAGAAGTCAGTAGTGCAGGAAATGAGGAACAAAAAAGAACTTTAAGTAATTTAGAAAAATAGTAGCAAAAAAATAATAGTAGATCAAAACTGTTTGCAAGATACAAAGGACATTATCCTATCTAATAAAAGAGAAACATGGTAATTGGCGTCCAACCGCTACCCTTCCCATTGGCCAATCAGGGCGATATGCAAATTAACTGCCAGCCAAGATGGCGGCCGGCAGCCAGGCAGCTTAAACTGAACATGAGGCTTGCTTGCTTCAGTGACGGAGGACTGCAACGTTCCCCGCCTGCCTTGCCGGCCTCTGAGCTTGCAGTTCAAAAAACATTGTAACAAATATAGAAGCTAAACAAAACCCCAGAAACCAGCTTTCAGAGACCTGGGATCTCAGAGCTGGAGTTGATACAGAGTTTCAATTATAGAACTGAAACAAACCAGATACCTGTTTTCAGCAGCTGAGGCCTCAGAGCTGGAGCCAAGCCATAGAGCTAAAGCTAGCCCAGAATAAAAAAAGAAGGAAAAAAAGGAGCAGTTGGGAGCTTCAGTCCCAGCCTGAAAACAGCCCTCAGCCCCTCACCCAGACTGGCCAGGCACCCCAGTGGGGACCCCCACCCTGAAGGGTGTGTGACCAGCTGCAAACAGCCATCATCCCCTCATCCAGGCAGGCCAGGCAGCCCAGTGGGGATCCCCACCCTGATCCAGGACACCCTTCAGGGCAAACCAGCTGGCCCCCACCCATGCACCAGGCCTCTATTCTATATAGTAAAAGGGTAATATGCCTCCTCGCACCGGGATCAGCGGAGCTGAGAGGACCCCCGGCACCGGGATCAGCATGACAGGGGGCAGCGCCCAAACCCCATAATCGCCCTGCGGCTCTGTGTGTGACAGGGGGCAGGGCCACAACCTCCCTATCGGCCCTGCTCTGTTCGCTACAGGGGAAGGCGCCCCAACCCCCTGATCGGCCCTGCTCTGTGCCTGATAGGGGGAAGCTCCCCAAACCCTGATCACCCTGCGGCTCTGTGTGTGACAGGGTGCGGCGCCTCAACCCCCCCACCCCACGGGCCCTGCTCTGTGTGACAGGGTGCAGCGCCCCAACCCCCCCACCTCACGGGCCCTGCTCTGTGTGTGACGGGGTAGAGCCATAACCTCCCCATTGGCCCTGGCCTGAGTGTGAGAGTGGCAGCGCCCCAACCCCTGATCGGCCCTGCTCTGTGGGTGATAGAGGGTGGCGCCCCAACCGCCCCCCCCCCCCCACGGGCCCTGCTTGTGTGTGACGGGGTAGAGCCATAACCTCCCCATCGGCCCTGCCCTGAGTTTGACAGTGGCAGCACCCCAACCCCCTGATCGGCCCTGCTCTGTGGGTGATAGAGGGTGGCGCCCCAACCCCCCCACCCCACGGCCCTGCTCTGTGTGTGATGGGGTAGAGCCATAACCTCCCCATCATCCCTGCCCTGAGTGTGACAGTGGCAGCGCCCCAACCCCCTAATCTGCCCTGCTCTGTGTGTGACAGGGGGCGGTGCGCCAACTCCCCTATCGGCCCTACTCTGTGCATGACAGGGGGGAACTCCCCAACCCCCCTGATGGGCCCTGCTCTGTGCGTGACAGGGGGGAGCTCCCCAACCCTCTGATTTACCCTGCTCTGTGCGTGACAGGGTAAGGAACCCCAACCCTCCTGATGGGCCCTGCTTTGTGCGTGACAGGGGGTGGCGCCACAACCTCCCCATCGACCCTGCCTTGAGTGTGACAGGGGGCGGTGCCCCAACCCTCCAATCGGCCCTACCCTGAGTGTGACTGAGGGTGGCATCGCAACCTCCCAATCCGCCCTGCTCTGTGCATGACAGGGGGTGGCACCCCAACTCCCCAATCAGCCCTGCTCTGAGCCCGACCAGGGGCTGCACCTAGGGATTGGGCCTGCCCTCTGCCACCCGGGAGCAGGCCTAAGCCAGCAGGTCGTTATCTCCTGAGGGGTCCCAGACTGCGAGAGGGCACAGGCCGGGCTGAGGGACGCCCCCCCTCTTCCCCCCCCCCCGAGTGCACAAATTTTTGTGCACCAGGCCTCTAGTATACTTAATAAAAGTTTCAAGTCAGCAATAAGATATAACAAATATAAGCATGCATCTAATAATAGACAAGCAAAATGGCATGAAGCAAAAACCTACACATTTAAAGGGGAAATAGACAATTCTACAATAATATTTGGAGACTCTTAATACTCCACTCTCAATAATGGTTAGAATAACCAGACAGAAGATAAGTAAGGAAATAAAGAACAATAAACCAACTAGATCTAACAGACATATGGAGAACACTACCGGATAGCAGCACCATATACATTCTCTTAGGTGACATGGACATTTTCTAGGATAGACCATATGTTAAGCCACCTAGTAAGTCTCAATAGATTTTTTAAAATATTTTATTGATTTCAGAGGAAGAGAGAGAGAGAGAGAGAAAGATCAGTGCTGAGAGAGACGCACTGATCGGCTGCCTTCTGCATGTGCCCTGGCCGGGAATCGAACCATGACCTCCTGGTTCATAGGTCAGTGCTCAACCGCTGAGCCATGCCGGCCGGGTTCAATAAATTTTAAAAGGTAGATACCATACAAAGTGTCTTCTCTCAAGCAGCATCATACTGTAAGTCCTATCCAGAGCAATTAGACAAGAAAAAGAAATAAAAGACATTCAAATGGGAAAGAGAAGTAAAATAATCTCTGTTCAGAGATATCTCCCCACAAGATACATTTATAACTAGAAAGGAAAAAATAGTAATTTGACAGTGGAGAAACCTATCAGTCACCACCTTCACCAAGCTGTTGAAATAAAAACATCACCAGTACTGTTATGACATATGGACAGCATGTTCCTTCTCATATGATGCACTGAGAAGGACACAATATCACTTCTCTGGTATTCCCTCACCAAATGTATATCATGAACTTTTTTTTTTTTTTTTTAATTGACTTGAGAGGCGGGGAGGAAAGGAGAAAGAGAACATTGATTTGTTGTTCCACATATTTATGCATTCGTAGGTCGATTCTTGTGTGCCCTGATCAGGGATCTAAACCCCAACCTTAGCACATTGGGATGATGCTCTAACCAACTGAGCTATCTAGCCAGGGTTATTGTGAACATTTTTTTTATTTTAATGATTTTTTTATAAAGAGGAAGGTAGAGGGATAGAGAGTTAGAAACATCGATAGAGAGAAACATGGATCAGCTGCCTCCTGCACACCCCCTACTGGGGATGTGTCCGCAACCAAGGTACATGCCCTTGACTGCAATCAAACCTGGGACCTTTCAGTCCGCAGGCTGACGCTCTATCCACTGAGCCAAACTGGTTAGGGCTATTGTGAACATTTTGATAAGAAAACAGCAGGCATTAGTGGATAGAGCCTCAACCTGCAGACTGAAGGGTCCCAGGTTCAATTCCTGTCAACGGCGTGTGCTCCGGTTGCAGGCTTGTTCCCCAGTGGAGGCAGCCGATCAGTGGTTCTCTCTCATCATTGATGTTTCTAGCTCTCTCTCCCTCTCCCTTCCTCTCTGAAATCAATAAAAAATATTTTAAAAAAAGAAAACAGCAGGCAAACCAAAATTGAGGAACATTTCACAAAATAACTGATCTTCAGAATGACCTTCAGAAATGTCAGAGTCCATGAAAGAGAAATAAAACTGGGGCTCTGTTCCAGATTTAAGAAGATCAAAGAGACATGGCAACTAAATGCAACACTTCACTCCATTCTAGATTGGATTCTGGACTAGTTCAAATTTTTTTTTTTCTATGAAGTACATTAGTGTGACAATTAGTGGCACTTTTGTGTTTTTAGGAAATAGACAAGGTATTTCAAGATAGGGGGTGTTGTAAGCAATTGATCTCAAAAAGCTCAGAAAAAAATGATAAATCCAGTATAATAGAATATTAACCTTTGGAAAATCTGAGAATTGTACTATTTTTGCAACTGTTTTTCAGGGGTGAATTGTTTTAAAATGAAATGTTAAAACAGTTAATGTGAAAAAAAGAATGAGGTTGATGTAAATATTCTCTCATCAAGAAGTATCTACAATATTATCATCTAGGTACAAAAGAAAGATTCAAAAATAGGGTGTACAGTCTATTTTCATTTTTGTAAAACATGGCTGTGTGGATACATATGCATAGAAACAATCATTTACCAGTGCTTATCTTCGGGAGTTGGAAATTATAAATTTCCATAATGTTTTAATTTTTGTAATAACAAGTATATATTATTGTAGTATTATATTTATAATCAAAAAGAATAAAAATTTTTTTCCAAAGGAAACTTGAAAAAAGCCTGACTAAAGTGCTGTTCCATTTTCTTGATGTAATTACAGCACAGCCCTCAACTCAGTAGTCCCATTATCTCACCAGCTCCATCGCCAGCACCAGCTCAGCTATCCACCCTGAAAACTGTTCGTTCTTCTGGACCACCACTTTCCATCATCCCCCCGTTCTCTAGACCTTTTATCCCTGGGCAAGGTATGTGTGCACACAACAAATCACAGCCTCAAGAATTTTAAAATATCAATCGTAATATCTGTGATTTATCTTGGTATTGCTACCTTCCAGTTTTCCACGGGACTACATTTCCACCTTCACCAGGCGTATTTATTACCATATACTCTTCTGACTTTAATATTTCATTACCAATTAATAATTAATTACTAATTTAGTAATTACTTACATGACAGGATTAAAATGGTGTTAACTTATTATCCTTAGACTCCATTCCTCCATAAAAAATGTTCTATAATTGTTTTATATTTCTAATTTCTGTATTATAGTAATATATCTCAAGAGTTTATTCAAAAATTTATTAAACATTTATTGAGAACTTGCTATCCCCCTGATGTACAAAAATGAATAAGATGAAGTCTTCATCCTCATCAATTCTCAGTCTAATTGGAGAAATACACACAAAAGCAATGATCTACACTAATAAAAGACAAACATGCAAATTGACCGTGCCTTCGCTACGCCGTAAGCCACACCCACCAGCCAATCAGAGCGACTATATGCAAATTAACCCAACCAAGATGGTGGCCAGCAGCCACGGAGCTGGAGCAAGCAGGAGGCTTGGTTGCCCCAATGACGGAGGAAGCCAAGCTTCCGCCTGCCACGGCCCCAGCTCTGAGCTCCACTTAAAGCAACAAAGTTTCAATTATAGAAGGTAAATAAACCCCAGATACCTGCTTTCAGCCAGCTATGGCCACGGAGCTGGAGTCTTGGGTTGCCCCTGGTGATGGAGGAAGCCAAGCTTCCCTCCCTCCCACCCTGGCCGGTTCTGAGTTCCACTCCAGGCTACAAAGATTCAATTATAGAAGGTAAATAAATCCCAGAATAAAAAGAAAAAAAGGAGAGGCTGAGAGCTTCCATCGCCGGGGGCGATTGGCCAGCCTGAAAACGGCCCCCAGCCCCTCACCCAGACTGGCCAGGCACCCCAGTGGGGACCCCCAACCCTAAAGAGGGTGTGGCCAGCCTGAAAACAGTTATCAGCCCCTCACCCGGGCTGGCCAGGCACTCCAGTGGGACCCCCGCCCTGATCCGGGACACCCTTCAGGGCAAACCAGCCGACCCCCACCCATGCACCAGGCCTCTATCCTATATAGTAAAAGGGTAATATGCAAACTGACCCTAACAGCAGAAAGACTGGGAATGACTGGTCACTATGACACACACTGACCACCAGGGGCCAAACGCTTGATGCAGGAGCTGCCCCCTGGTGGTCAGTGTGCTCCCACAGGGGGAGCTCTGCTCAGCCACAAGCCAGGCTGATGGCTGCCAGTACAGTGGTGGTGGTGGGAGCCTCTCCCGCCTCCTCAGCAGTGCTAAGGATATCCAACTGCAGCGTAGGCCTGCTCCCCTCTGGCAAGTGGACATTCCCCAAGGGCTCCCGGCTGCCAGAAGGATATCTGATTGCCAGCTTAGGTCCAATCCCCTGGGGAGCGGGCCTAAGCCAGCAGGTGGTCATCACCCGAGGGGTCCCAAACTGCGAGAGGGCACAGGCCGGGCTGAGGAACCCCCTCGAGTGCACAAATTTTTGTGCACCAGGCCTCTAGTTATAAAATAATATGGAAACGATTGGTTTTATTTTCTGGAATTTACTATAAGGATAAATGCATGCAATCATTGCAAACAATGATTTATGTACAGAAGAGTTTATTCTATAGCAAAACATCTTTTCAGAACAACATAAGTGTCCTTTAGTAAGAATTAGATTATAGGAAAAACTAAGATGGCGGCATAGATAAACACCGGGAAATTGCTGCTTCCTACAACAATCGATAAATGCATCAAAAACACAAGGTGGACATCATCCAGAACTACAGGAGGGCTGGCTGAGTGTAAATTCTACAACTAGAAGGAAAGAAAAGCACACTGCGAGCGGGAGGAGCTGCGGAGGTGGAGTGCAGAGGTACGGGGGCTCGCGCACGGAAAGGGTCTGGCACCTGAGGACGCGGCTGTCTTTTTGAATCCGGAGGGAGACACAAGCTCCCGACGGCTCTGAAATCTGGTTCCGGGAAGTCTCTGGGGACCCAGGACTCATACGGGGAGATACTGGACTGTCGGGCAGCGGGCGAGCTTGAGAGCGGCTTTCCCTCAGAGGTGCTTGCAGCCATTGCCAGGACACTGGGACTCGCGACTCCTTAGGGCAGGGCTGAGGCTCCGCCATAGCTGCTTTCTCCGCCCTTTGATTCCTTGAGACCCCGCCCCGCCCAGGCTGCGGCAGAGGCTTTTGCATATGAATGCCCCGGCCATTTGCAACCTGTAATTACCTAACCACAGCCGGGCCAGATAGACCCAGAGCTTCCAAGAGAAGGCCCAAGGCCCCACAGCGGCTTGCATTCCTACACAGCTGAGCATCATCAGGGCACTTCCAAACTCCAAAAAAAAAGGAAGGGGAATCTGCAGTTCTCTTTGTAGTTCCTGCTGTGTAACCTCAGGCAGAGGCTAAATTAGCACCTCCTTAGATCCAAGAGCCACTGTACCCAGTGGTCAGAGGGGAACCATCCAGATCACAACTCCTCAGATCCATAAGGGACACACTCAGGGTACAGTCTCAGTGAGCACCAAAGCCCCACTGAAGCAAGTCTTGCCCCAGAAGGGTGTCTCCAGCACAGAAGTTCTCCCACTGCAGACACAGCTGATTATCGCTGCCAATTGCCCTGGAGGTCAATTCCTCCCAGTGATCCTACAACAACCAAGGCATAGCTACAACAAGACTGTGCACAAAGCCCACGAGGGGGTGTACCAAGAGTGTCCACCTCAGGTAACTGGGGAGGCTGAGCCACTGGGCCCTACAGGACACCTAGCACACAAAGCCACTCTATCAACACAGGGAAGCAGCCAAAATGCGGAGCCAAAGAAACAGGTCACAAATGGCAGAAATGGAGGAAAGCAAACGACTGGATATAGAGTTCAAGGCCACGTTTATAAGGTTTTTCAAGAATTTTATGGAAACCGCCAATAAATTTAATGAGTCCCTCAATAAGTATAGTGAGACCATGGAGGACATGAAAAAGGACCAACTAGAAATTAAGCATACACTGACTGAAATAAAGAATAATATATGGAGATCCAACAGCAGACAAGAGGATCCCAAAAATCAAGTCAAAGATTTGAAATACAAAGAAACAAAAAATACCCAACTGAAAAAGAAAAAAGAAAAGAGATTCCAAAAATATGAAGATAGTGTAAGGAGCCTCTGGGACAACTTCAAGCGTACCAACATCAGAATTATAGGGGTACCAGAAGAAGAGAGAGGGCAAGATATTGAAAACCTATTTGAAGAAATAATGACAGAAAACTTCCCCCACCTGGTGAAAGAAATAGACTTCCAAGTCCAGGAAGCGCAGAGAACCCCAAACAAAAGGAATCCAAAGAGGACCACACCAAGACACATCATAATTAAAATGCCAAGGGCAAAAGACAAAGAGAGAATCTTAAAAGCAGCAAGAGAAAGACAGTCAGTTACCTACAAGGGAGTACCCATACGACTGTCAGCTGATTTCTCAACAGAAACCATGCAGGCCAGAAGGGAGTGGCAAGAAATATTCAAAGTGATGAATAGCATGAACCTGCAACCAAGATTACTTTATCCAGCAAAGCTATCATTCAGAATAGAAGGTCAGAGAAAGAGCTTCACGGATAAGAAAAAGCTAAAGGAGTTCATCACCACCAAACCAGCATTATATGAAATGCTGAAAGGTATTCTTTAAGAAGAGGAAGAAGAAAAAGGAACTCTTACCATTTGCCACAGCATGGATGGAACTGGAGAGCAGATAAATACCACATGATCTCACTCATTTGTGGAATATAATGAACAACATAAACTGATGAACAAGGACTGATCCAGAGACGGAGAGGCATTGATTGGACTGTCGGGCTTTGGAGGGAGGGTAGGGGAGCGTGGGGGTAAGGGGGAAAGATCAACCAAAGGACTTACATGCAGGCATATAGGCCTAACCAATGGACACGGACAACGGGGGGGTGGGGGGGGGGTGAGGGCATAAGCGGGGGGGGGGTAGAGGGTAACGTGGGGACAAGGACACATATGTAATATCTTCATCAATAAAAATATATTTAAAAAAAAAAGAATTAGATTATAGTATATCCATATATAAGGAATACTATGCAGTTTTCTAAAAATCATGTTTTAAAGAATCATTTAAAGGGGAAATCATTGAAACGTGGGTGATTTTTAAAAATACGTTCCATGGAATTTCAAAAAAGAAGACCTGGAAAAGATGCTCAGCATCATTATTCATTAGGGAAAGAAATATTAAAATCTGAGTGAAATACTATTTTGCCCCCACTAGAATGGCTATAATAAAAAAAAACTACCAACACCGAATGTTGGTGAATATACAGAACAACTAAGATTCTCACATTGGTGTGGAAGTGTAATATGATAAAAGCACTTTGAGAAAAGATTTAATAGTGTCTTACAATGTAGCAGTTGCCCTACTAGGTATTTACCCAAGAGATGTGGAAACGTGTTTATGAGGACTTGTCCAAGAACATTTATAACAACCTATAATAGCCCAAACTGGACAGACCCAAATATCCAATAGTGGAGACTGGATAAACAAGTTGTCACCTATCCTTGCAATGGAATCCTGCTCAGCAATGAAAATGAACAAAGCAAACTACTGACATGCAACAACATGGAAGAAGCTCAGAGCTACATAAGCAAAAAACAAACCAGACACACAAAAGAAGACATACTATATGATTCCAATTATATGAACTCCAACTAAAGGTGAACTAAACCGACGTTAGAAATCAGATCATGGTATGGATGGGATATGGAGTTGACTGGAAACGAGCTTGAGGGAACTTTTTAGGAAATGGAAATGGTTGTTATCTTTTCTGGGGCATGATTACATGGACTCTTAAAGTTGTTAGAAGTCTTCAAACCTAACACTAAAGATGTGCATTTTGTTTTATGTTAATTATGTCTCCATTTTTTTAAAAGAATTATAAAATAACATATACACATGTGTGAGCATACACATGTAGAACAAAGACTGGAAAGGTACACACCAAAATGTTAGAAATGATGGAATTACTAAGGTGCTTTTTATTTTCTCCTTTGTAAACAATACTCTATTTCCAAATTTTCTACAAAGCCAATTACTTTAACCCAGAAAAATAAAGCATGCTATAAAGTGAGGCGGTTCTCCCTCCCAAGAGCACACTCACACTTTCCCCCTCCCGCTCTTCTTCCCCCGGGCATGTTACCCTTACCTTTCTCCCAAGCTCCAAGGGCCCTTCTCTGCCTCTGTAACTTTGTTTCCTGAGCCCATTTCTTCTACAGCTGACTTCTTCCACTTCTGTGACTTTCTAAAGAAGCTTTCTCTTATAAAAAATAAAAGAAATAAGCCAGTTGAAGAAAGATAAATATCACATGATCTCACTCATTTGTGGAATATAATGAACAACAAACTGATGAACAAAAAATAGAACCAGAGACATAGAAGCATGGAACAGACTGTCCAACCTATGAGGGAAGGCTGGGAGGAGGGAGTAAGAGATCAACCAAAGGACTTGTATGCATGCATATACTATAAGTGCCGGGGTTCTTGTTCTGGCATTAAGAAGGGTTCAGCAATCTGGAAAAGGGGCCGTGTATAACTTTTTTTTTTTTTTTTTTTTTAATTTTTATTGCTTAAAGTATTACAAAGGGTATTACATATGTGTCCATTTTATCCCCCCGCCCTAGACAGTCCCCTAGCCTCCCCTATCCCCCAATGTCTTATGTCCACTCCGTGTATAACTTTAAGAGTCCAGAGACAAAGCATAATTTTGAAAGGCATATGGGGGTCAGAGGAGCTTAGCTAAAAGGAACTAAGATCTCTTCGTCTCAGGACCCCATGCTTTTTATTAACACAAATTGTCCTGAGGCGAGGTGGAAATATACACTTCAAAGGGTCAGGGTTTCATATACAGCGTCCATTGTCAGATTGGGGGAATCAGCCTAGGCTGTTCAGGTGTTTGGCCAGTAGGAGGCAATAACATGTAGATTAAGATGCCCTGAGCTGCCTGGCAGCAAACAATCATCCCTTTTCAGGTTTGGGGAAATGCCATTAGCCATTCCCAATAGGTGACAACATATGTGACTCAGCCCTTGTTGAGTCCCCAAGTTCCATCAACCTTTTGATGAAACTCTTGCAATTATGGCATGTTGGAATTGGCTTCCGGCAAGTAAGCATAACCAATAGACACAGACAGTAGTGGGGTGAGGGTATGTGTTGAGGGGTGGGAGTGCTGGGGAGAGGTCAATGGGGGAAAAAGACATATGTATTACTTCAAACAATTAAAAATAAATAAAAGAAGAAATTGAAATAGCATGTGGGTTGAAACTATATGGCAATATAGTAATATTGAGATGCCTTGTCTAGTATGAATGCCCCAAGACAGTGGTCGGCAAACTCATTAGTCAACAGAGCCAAATATCAACAGTACAACGATTGAAATTTCTTTTGAGAGCCAGATTTTTTTTAACTTAAACTATATAGGTAGGCACATTGTTATTAACTTAATTAGGGTACTCCTAAGGCTTAGGAAGAGCCACACACCATGGGCCAAAGAGCCGCAGTTTGCCAACCACGGCCCCAAGAGGAGCACAGAGCACGGTCTATAAGGATGGATCTTTGGTTACTGCCGACTACAACCTCATCTCCATATTTGAAAAGAATACTGCTCCATGGGCCTAAACTTAACTCTGACTTCTTTGCAGCTGTTTTTTATGCATCTTCACAATTCACATGTGCATGTTGTCTCAGTGCTAAGCCTCTATGTCATACCCGCCCTTCAGCTAGTGCTTGGGAAGGAGCAAGTATGTCATGGGTGTGTTCTGCCAGAAAGCTGCCCAAGCAACATCAGAAAAGAGCCCATAGAGGGATAGAGAGTTCACACCTGCTTCTCTCTGCTATGAAACTGTCAAGAAAGGGGATGCATCATTTCCTGAAGAGGCTTTCCAGCACCTGCCTATCACCCTCTTCCAAACATGGAGTGTGCTAAATGTCGGGATTTGTGGTTAAAATAAGAAGAGGATATAGCAAATGAAAGCATTCTTCTCCAGGACAAGGGTTTTGCAGTCAGCATTTATTAAGCCCTTTCCATGTGATACTTCAGGCATTCTTGAGTGAACCAAAATAATTGGAGGGTCTCCCTCCTGACTAGCCCACACTCCTTGATTCAGGAAGAGGATACTTGCTCATGAATACCGTAAAGAACTGTGCCACTCTTTCTAAGCAAGTGAAAATTAAAAATACAAACTTTAAAGAGAGCTTATAGTGTAAATACTCCTATTGGTTAAGACTCTAAAAATGTTTGTATGCATATATGTAAATACATGCATGCAAATATTTATAGTAGTTAATTGTGAATTTGGGGAACTAGGGAGCTTAATGTTTTTTTAGGGTCTTTTCCTTCTGAAATGTAAGTTATATTCATTGTTAATCATTAGAGAAAATGTGGATTTTAGCATCTCAAGTGGTTGGAGGAGGTATTTATAGTCATTTTGATGGATTTCATATGGAATGTTAAGGTATATAGAGAAGTTTCTCTTCATCCTATCCCGTCACCCCAGTTCCCACCACTTACCCTCCTTCATAACCACTTTTATTAGTTCTTAGTCCTTTGAGAAGTTTACACCAACTTTTTAAAGGATATTTAGAACTTTTAACTCTTTTAAAACTATGTCAGAACCTACTGAACTGAGACAACTTAGAAAACTCTAGGAAGTATATTATAACTGAGTAGAGAAAAATATAAAAATGTTTCTGTTGACTTTCAGGAGATGCCAGGTATCCATTACTTGGCCAACCACTGCAGTACAACCCTCCTACTGTTCTGCATGGACACTTGCCACCCCAACAGGTGAGAGTGCCGGCCGTCAGACCTTGTAGGCGTTGTTGGCAGAGCATCATACGTCTGTGGCTGAGTGCGGGCCTGGGCCTTCCTATTGGCACTGCACAGGGAGAGCTCTCTGCCTCCGCCGTGGGTTTCTTAGTGTTGTCACTGCCTCATCGAGAGCAGAGCCAGGGGACAGTCGTGCTGCTTGGCTGGGCAGTATCCCGGATGGGCTGGGTGCAGGGCATGCTGCTCAGGAAAGCCCAGAAAGTGACTGGTCATAGTGAGGGACGGGGGGCCACTGCCACAAAGGTGGAATTCAAGAGGCCTGGGGTTGAATTTTTCTGCTGAAACACAAAACCCAGACTGACTATGGTTATGTATTAAGTGTTTAAACATCACAAACATATTTGTCAGCATTGTTAACCTTATTTCTCATCTGTTGGTGGGTTTTCAGGGTCAGTCTGGCAACAGGCATGGAAACCGAGGAAGGAAACAAGCTAAGAAAGCTGCATCCACTGACCTTGGTGCGGGAGAAGCAGGTGTGTCCCTGAGACGGCTGGATGTGCTTCTAGAAACTGTTGACCACGTCGCCAGTCTTTAAAACTGTACCCCAGCACAGAAATGGGTTTTCCTCTCCCTGGAGTCCTGCAAAGGTCTTAGGGAATTATGCCGTCCATAATATAGGGTGCTTGAATATGCTCTTTCAGTGCTATTTCATCTCAAGTTGGAGAGCATAGTAAGGTACAGGTTGGGTTTAGGAGGGATGAAGGGACCAAAGGGAAACGATGTGTGTGACAAGTACAGGTAGAATGAGCTCTTTGCCTCTGTTGTTTGAGAAAGGAAGTAGCCCTTACGTCCATACGGAGGCAGTGTGAATGAACAAATATGTCACCTTCCGTGGCAAAGTGCTGTCAAATATGTACCTTAACTTTCTACTCAGCTTCATTGGGTGCGTAGGGCAAGTGTTGCTATCTTCCTTTTACACTGGGAACGTGAGGTGCAGGGAGCTGCCCAGAAGCACACACCTCATTGGGAGAAGCCACTGTGCAGTGCTGTGTTGTGTGTGTGCAGCTGTCAGTGAAGACTGAAATGGGTAGTTGGCACTGTTAGCTCTGCACTCCTTGCCAGGGGGTACTTAGGAATGATTGAAAGATTATCATAACAATTATACTTCTGTGGATTTGAATGGTTTTAGAAAATTCTGTTCATTTTCTATGTCATATTGGGGTTAGAGTACATTTTGCCTCTCTTCAGTAACAGGGATTGTTAATCCTACACCTTTTCCCTTCTAGTTGTTGGGAAAGTCTTGGAAATTACTGAACTACCAGATGGAATAACTCGCATGGAAGCCGAGAAGCTCTTTGGGGAACTCTTTAAAATTGGCGCCAAGATCCGGTGGCTGCGGGACCCCCAGTCCCAGTCCCAGCTGCGTCGTCACCCGCTCTGCTGTGGCAGCGGGGACAGCACTATCAATTCTGAACGCTCTAAACCCATTGACTTGGCCTCCACGTACACCGTCCTAGCCACATTCCCCTCCATCTCAGCTGCACAGAATGCATTGAAGAAACAAATTAACTCAGTTAACAAATTTAAGCTGAGAACAAGCAAGAAGCACTATGACTTTCACATTTTGGAAAGGGCAAGTTCTCAGTAACAGTCACCTTGGACCCTGGGCCTTTATGATTCCCCTGTGCTCTCCCATCTTTAATTGGCTTGGTATTCAGAGCTCCTGTTAACATGATAGAGACTCCTAGGGGGTGTGGTCAGGGTGAAACAGCTTTTGAAGACAGGCCGGTGTTCCAGCAAAGCGGGGAGATCCACACTGCACCCCAGTGACTAGGAATCCACATCGGAGTCATACAGCTTTTTCTGAGGAAATGCTGTTCAAATGTCTCCTGACTTTTATAGTTATTTTGTTTTATATTTCTGAATTCTTGTATCAGATCCAAAGCTCTGTTGTACAGCAAATTATTCTTCAAAATTATTACAATTAGTTGCAACCTGTATTTCTTTTTTGCAGCCAGCACGGTGTGATCCAACATAGAATTTGGGGGAAAAGAATACAGGAATAGAATAACCAAGTCAGAACCATTTGCTGTCCTTTTGAGGGGCTGAAGGGTGACTAAGGAGAGCCCACAAGCAGATTACTCTTCCCCTGTATCTAAACACAGAAACAATTTCCAGAAAACACAGAATTCCCTCAGTGGGTTCTTTCCTTATTCATTTAGGTAGTATGACCATTAAGTGTGAAGTAAATTATGTTCTTAAGGCCTCTCAATCAAACCACTTAGACTCAAAGGGGAATAGGAATCATTCTAGGCTGGAAAATACTTTTTTTAAGTCCTTCCAATAACTAAATGCCACTTATTTGCATTCCCCTCCTCGTGGATTTTTTGTCACCTACAGAAATGCATTTGATGAGTGCTGGAAACTTCTTAAGCAGTTTAAAGTTTGTTTTCATTGTTTGCAGCAGATCACTGGACATCAAAGATTCATTGCACTAATTACAAGGAACCTTTTTTTTCAATTCTGTGTAATTTGAAAGGCTGTACAATGTGTGCTGATGCAAGCCTTTTTCAGTTCAAGAGAATAAATGTTTACAAATATAGACCCACTTTGTCTTTTGTAAATTAAAATCACCTTTTTAAATGAGTGCCAGTAATAAAGACCTAACTTGTCCTGCAGATTTTAATTTCAGACTTAAAGATGAAAGACAGTAAACCCTTCATTTTTGCTTTTTTCCTTATTTATTTAATCATTTATATTGAATTTATTGGGGTGACCTTGATTACTAAAATTATAGGTTGGTTTCAGGGGCACAATTCTATAATACATCATCTGTATATTGCATTGTGTAGTAAACCCCTCATCTTACAAAACGTTTTACAAAACATCACTTTCTCTGTGGCAGTGATTTTAGTGGGTACAATTCATGTCACCTCATTCTCTCATAAATGTAATACCAATACCTTGCCCGTGTTGCTCAGTGGTTGGAGCGCCAGCTCGTGCACTGAAGGGTCACACGTTTGATTCCCAGTCAAGGGCATATACCCCAATTGCAGGTTCAGATCCCTGGCCCCATTCCAGTGCATACCAATCGATGTTTCTCTCTCTCCTTCCCTCTCCAGCCCTCCCTTCTGCTCTAAGAAACAATGGGGAAAAAATATCCTCAGATGAAGATTAAATATATATATAAAAAATACCAATCAATTGTAGACAATTTGAGTATGAACATCTATATGTATAAAAGCCTAAGCGACTGGTCAACAGGTCACTATGACACACTGACCACTAGGGAGGGAGCAGATGCTCAATGCAGGAGCTGCCCCCTGGTGGTCAATGCACTCCCACGGCCAGCCAACCTCCCTCAGTCCCTCCCCGTGGCCGGCTGGCCCCAATCGGGACTGAGCAAGGGACTCCACTCGTGCACGAATTCATGCACCAGGCCTCTAGTACTTATATAACTAAAAATAGAATATTGTTTGGTTAAAGAATTTGTGTTCTTAGCCAATATATTGATCATCTGATTGTCCAGATTAGCTCAAATGCTGTATCAAAAGCCTTCCCTACTTGTTAGCCAAGCAAAGTGCTGGGAAACACAAAAGCTAGGAGGGTCTGCCATATACAACTTGCCTGGAGCCTGGTTCGCTTGCAGCCCAGAGTGGGGGCGCTCAGGAGGAGCAGGTGTTATTAGACCAGCACAGATGTTCAGGCACGCCAAAGCATTTGCAAAGCCACACTTGGTTCCTGGGGGCAGAAGTTGGAGCTGCCTTTGAACCATGTCAGATTAAGGAGCTGTACATAGAGGAAAAAGTAAGGACTATGAAAATCACATTCAAGGCCTATTGAATTTTTATCATTTTTGACTAGAGAGTTGAAGATCTTGGGGAAACATAATTAAGATCGGCATTGCAGCAAGAATTATTCAATCCGTGAATGGGGATGGAGACCAAAAAAAACCCCACAACCCCATGGTTTATTTCAGTTTTCCGAATATTTAACTTCTGCAGTAGGAATCCTAGTAAACCTAAGAGTAGGTTTGGGGGCTTTTTTTAAATTGAGATATAATTGACGTATTTGTTTCAGGTGTACAGCATAATTATTTGATATTTGTATATATACTAGGATTGTGAAATAATCACCACAGTAAGTCTAGTTAACATCACTTCATATAGTTACAAAATTTTTTTCTTGTGATGGGAACCTTTAAGATCTCTTAGCAACTCAAATATACAGCACCGTATTAATTATCGTCTCCATGCCGTACATAAAACCTAAAAGATGCTTAGTTTACCCTGTAAGAGCTGACATCTGCTCAGAGGAAATAAGAAATCAGTGAGGCTATTGTTAAGTCACCACCACCACTACGCCCATTCCCTGATAATCACATGGGAATATGAAATTGCCAACCCTCCCCCATACACACATAAAAAATAATGCACCCATTCCCTGATTATATTCCCCTGTTCTTTTTCTAGAATCTGATTTTACCTATAGAAAAATGCTAAAGCACACACAGGAAGCATTTAAAATGTGATTTGACCCAGACTAAATCTTCCTAAGGATAGCTTCAAATGCCCCACAGCCCTGGCTGGTTTTCCCCAGAGCACTGACCATATTTAGGAGCAGAGAGTACTTTTATGAATAAAACAGGCTACTGCTACCTGTGCCACTACAGGGTGGGACAAAATTAGGTTTACAATTGTATGTGTAACAGTTTAGTCTTGTATTATTTATTATTGTTATTTTCCTGCCTTTGTCACACCCTGTATTAGCAACTCCAGCAGCCCCTTCTTTGGGAATAACAGAAGGCATTTAATAACTTTTCACTTATACTTTATTTTTTTATATGTTTTTATTGATTTCAGAGAGAAAGGGAGAGGGAGAGACATAGAAACATCAACAATGAGAGAGAATCATTGATCGGCTGCCTCCTGCAAGTCCCACACTAGGGATCGAGCCTAAACCTGGGCATGTGCCGTGACGGGAATCGAACCCATGGCCTTCTGATTCACAGGTCGATGCTCAACCACTGAGCCACACTGGCTGGGCCACTTCTACTTTAAAAGAAAGCTGAAGCCGAGACCGGTTTGGCTCAGTGGATAGAGCGTCGGCCTGCGGACTGAAAGGTCCCAGGTTCGATTCCGGTTGGGGGCATGTACCTGGGTTGCGGGCACGTCCCCAGTGGGAGATGTGCAGGAGGCAGCTGATCGATGTTTCTCTCTCATCGATGTTTCTAACTCTCTGTCTCTCTCCCTTCCTCTCTGTGAAAAATCAATGAAATATATTAAAAAAAAAGAAAAGAAAAAAAGAAAGCTGAAAATATGGCTTGTGGTTAGTTCTTCAACATTTATCTATGAAGAACATGGATATGTTGGGTATGTGTGTGTGAATCTAGAGCACAAAGTGCGTTTGCCATGATGCTAACAGTCATTAATATAACTAGCTTAGCATGTCTGGCATAGCTCAGTGGTTGAGCATCCACCTATGAACTAGGAGGTCACAGTTCAATTCCCAGTTAGGGCACATTCCGGTTTGCGGGCTCGATCCCCAGTGTGAATCATGCAGGAGGCAGCCGATCCATGATTCTTTCTCGTCACTGATGTTTCTCTCCCTCTCCCTTCCTCTCTGAAATCAACAAAAATGTTTAAAAATAACTAGCTTGACATCTGAGCTGATGACAAAGGAAGAATCTAATCTGCACCATCCCTCTCTCCTGCTGCAGACTAAAAAAATTGTTTTTCTGATCCCACCAAGTAGGGACCTGTGGCCTATGCATAGTGTGAAAACAGGCCTCAGGACAGGCCACAATGCCAGAGTGGCTTGGGAAGAGTCAAGCCAGCACATCAGCACCTACCTCAGCAGCTGAACAGTTGGGTTCTTTACATGTCAGCAACAGAGAAAATGGAAGTGTGCAACTTCAGCAGACCAGCCCCAGGGCCTTTGTGAAAGTGGCCAGATCCCGGATCCTGGTTGCTGTCTGCCCAGCAGATAATGAGATGTGGTACGTTACAGTTTTCAAAGGCAGAAAGCACAGCAGATTCCATCTTCTGGTTCCCAGTGTGGCCCTAGCATAAAGGTGCTCTGTCCTCGGTGGCATGATTCAAAGCTGGTCCCATGTTGCTTGGAATTCTCAGAGGCTATGAACAGATGCTAAAGAAGCAAAGTCTCAGGTGTAGCCATTCAGCCCACAGCCCTTCATCAGCATGAGGAACAGGCACACACAGCTGCCCTTTAACCTAGCCCCAAGCCCACATATGCTCAAACTGCGTAGTGCATGCTTATTAGCTATTTTCCTCTTTAGTGTCTACTCTTGGAATCATTTTGGTTTGATTTCACCAGCATCAGAATACTGGAGGAGTGTAAGGAAGGGACATAGGACCGCCTGAATCAGGAAACTGGTAACAGTTGGTTCATTGCAAGGGAAGCAGGAAGCCTTGAAATAGATAAATTAGCTACATAATCCCTCCTCTCCCCCCCAAAATCTGCAGTTTCAGTTACTTCTGTCTGTTTAACAGCATCTTAGAGAGGAAAGGAGAGATAGCAATGTTGATTTGTTGTCCACATATTTATACGTGCACTGGTTGATCGAACCCGAAACCTTGGTGTATGGGGATGATGCTCTAACCAACTAAGCTACTTGCCCAGGGCCTAAATTGAGTGTTTTAAAGCGATATTGTGGGTCAGGAATTTGACTTTTGGTCAAACTAAAGATAACATCTAGATGTCTTTCAGCTCCAGGCCCAGAAAAGCAGCAAAACCAGACAAAATGAGGCCATGGATGACATCAGGACCAGCTGCAAAGACTAATGGCCCCGGCCCTAGTGCTGACCAATCAGTAGAGACCACTAACCCGAAAGGACACACCTGGGAAGCTGCTGCATATTCTACTAAGATCCTCCCCTGATAGTACCCCTAGAACCCCTGCCTTTTGAGAAACAGAGAAAAACCCTCAAGATGAAGCCCTGGCCAGCTAAGTCGGTTAGAGCAGTATTCCAATACGCCAAGGTTGCGGGTTGGATCCTTGATCAGGACACACACAAGAATCAGCCAATAAATGCATAAGTAAGTGAAACAACAAATCAATGTTTCTCTCTCTAAATAAGTTTAAAAAACAAAAAACAAAAAACAAACTCAAGATGTGCCCTAGCTGGTTTTGCTCAGTGGATAGAGCGTCAGTCTGCAAACCAAAGGGTCCTGGGTTCGATTCCGGTCGAGGGCACTACCTAGGTTGCAGGCTTCTACCCGGTCTGCAGGCTGCCCCTGATATATATATATATATATATATATATATATATATATATATATATATATATATATATATATATATATCAAGATGAAGGATCCAGTGCTTGCTCACTTGCTCTGGAGCATGCACTTGCCTGTTCCCCTCTCCTTCCTCCAGGCATGTATTTTTGTTTATTTTGTGTTTTTGTTTTTGTTTTTTGGTTGTTGGTTTTTTTTGCCTTTCTTTCTCCTACAGTCCATGGGCCCTTCTTTTGCCTCTGTAACAAGTTTCCTGAAGAGGCTAACTTCTTCCACAGCTCACTTCTTCTACCCTGTGACCTTTTTTTAATTTTGTTTTATTGCTTAAAGTATTACAGAGTATT